AAGACCGTGAAGAAGGGAGCGTGTTTCCGTTCGTCCTGTCCCAACGGCAAAATTCATATCCCGAGGCAATTTAGGGCTCTCGCAACGGCATCAGTAACTTGTGCAATAAGTCAGCAAAGTGAGAGGAATAGTTTCCGGGCGTCACTCCCCCGCAAGACCCCTCCCCCCCCCATTAGAGGACGTCGGCAGGGGGGTTGGAGGGGCAAAGAAGGGAGGGGGAGGGCGAGGAGACTCCAAGAAGGCACCCAACCAGCTCGGTTCCTCTCCTTTTCTCCTTCACGTGATGGAACAAATGAATCATCTCCCGCCTTATAAGACGCCGTAGACATGACGTGCGTGAGAGTTCTGCCACGCATGTCTTCTTTGTTCCCCTGATATGCGTCCGACATGACTCTCCCTCGCAGTGTTGAGTTAACCGAGCATCCTTCCATTTTATCCCCGACAAGTGCATGTATTAGCATAATGACTGACTCATTACCCTATGAGAGCCTTTTAACTAATTATGATCGACAGTCGCGACATATTAACAACACCGAAACAAGTGCTTCCTCCCCAGTGCGAATTTATCATCAACAGCGCGCAGGATTTCGAGATAAGAATGCTTAGATGCGCGACCATCCTTGGCTAATGGAATCAGCTCGATCCCCAGGAAACCACCCTCGTATGCAGAGGAGGGGGGGGGGGAGATGGACGTTGGATGTGGGGGAGGGGGGGACGTCTGAAGGTTGGGGGGGGGGAGCTAGTCAGCTGGATAGGGAGGAACGTCCTGAAAGGTTGGGGTGGGGGGGGGACTGTTAGCTGGATGGGGGGGAACGTCCTGAAGGTTGGGGGGGGGGGGCTGGTTAGCTGGGGAACGTCCTGAAGGTTTGGGGGGGCTGGTAGCTGGATGGGGGGAACGTGAAGGTGGGGGGGGGGAGCTAGTCTCAGCTGGATGGGGGGAACGTCCTGAAGGTACTAGTCAGCTGGATGGGGGGGAAGGACTGGTTAGCTGGGGAACGTCCTGAAGGTTGGGGGGGAGGGGAAAACAGGTGGGTTGGGTAACAGTGGGTTTGTAAAAGGAATTGAACGCCAGTGTTGATACTTCGTGTAGGATACTTGTACAGCCCTTAATGGTGAAACAATAATAATGATAATATGAAATGAGATGGATAAACAAATCTATCGTGTTGATAAAAGAAGAGCAACAATAACGAGAAAAAGGATGAATAATGATAAAAAAAAAAAAAACGCCACATTTCTGTTAACTTAACTCACGCATAATGTTTTTTTTTCATTAGATTACCTAATGGAAGACAAGTTTTGGCTAGAATTACCCTGTTTGATTAAGACGCAGCGAAATGTAGATTTCTCTTAGTATTTCTATTCCTCAGAATAAAACGAAATATTAAGATACGGGCTTGAAAAGCTGCGGATATCATGTACGAGTATACAGTAATACTATATATTGTTCATATATCTACATATCACTTTATTTGTTTATTTATATATTTATTTATTTGTTTTTGTTATAATCATTATTATTTTCATTATTTTTGTCGAACCAATTCTGTTGTCTTTCTTCTACGTAATCTAATAACGAATCTTTAACTCAACTTATACGTCTGTTTTCTTTCTCCTTTTCGTTTTCTATGTAATCTAATATAGGTGTTTGGTTCATCTATTCTCGTTTTCTTTCTTTCTCTATCTCTTTTAATTCTTTTTATCTTCTTTCTTTCTTGAAGATTCTTTGACATAACTAATTGTCATGTTTTGTCTCTCACTTCCTTTTTTTTTTTTTTTTTTTGAAGATTCTTCGATATAACTATCCTCATTTTAATTTCTTCTAGTTCTCATTTTCTATCTTCCTCTCTTTTTTAATTATTCTTTTTTTCTTTCTTTCTTTCTAATCTTATTTTTTTCTAGTTCTCATTTTCTATCTTCCTTCTTTTCTTATTTTGTTTTGTCTTTCTATATTCTCTTATTCTCTTCTTTTTTTTTTTCTTTCTTTCTGTCTTATTTTTTTCTAGTTCTCACTTACTATCTTCCTCTCTTTCTCTTAATTCTTTTTCTTTCTATTCTCCTTTTCCTTTTTGTTGTTGTCCGAGAATTATGGTCCGTATATGGGGTTATTTCCTCTCTCTGTTTTAATGAACCAACCGGCGCGAAAAGCTCCCCGTCCGGCTTCTTGATTTGAGTCAAGTTTAGGGAAGTTTGTGTCGCTTGAGATGAAAGCATATTTGTTTTATAGCAGCTATTCCTTAGGGTCTGCTGAACCCCTTTCCACGCGGCTTGGGGGTAACTGTGGCGCGCGGAGATAAATTAAAGGGCGTTGCGTGCTGTAAAGAATGGAATGAGGAGCGTTCGTTCCCGTCATGAAATTGTCTTTATTTGTTATCATTATTGTTAGCTTTTTTGTTGTATTTGTTTTTTTTCGGCTAATAACGTGAAGGGGATAATTGCAATGAATGTCTGTAGTGGTTACGTAATGGTATAACAAAGCTAAGAGTAAAGGAAACAGAATTATCATTTAATGAAGATTTACGCTTTAAAAAGGAGATTACGCAACTGTACTGACTGTTATTTTTAGATTATTCATTATTTTCTTACTTCTTTTACATTTACATTCAACACTCGTTTTTTTGTGTGTGTTTTTTTATCACTTTCATATCCACATCTTTCCACATACTAAAGAAATCCCACTCGTTTCGATCGCAGCGAACCCACGCAAAAGCGACGCCATAAACCGCCATACAACGCCGTTCCTTTCCGAAAGAGACGTAACACTGTGTTCTTTCTTCGCCGCCTTCGCACCACCGGCCGGCTGCTTCATTTGTGCGTCTCCGGTTAAACTCTCGGCAAACAAAAACGTCTGAAAAGGGTAACTGTAGCACCTTGTGAGTCTCTGCCTGAATGTGATGAATATTTGAATAGCGTGTTGTCGCTCGCTCTCACGCTGACTTGTCTCGGCGAACTGGTGTGTTAAGTCGCTGTAAAGTGTTGCGTCGGAGAGTCTCGGATAAGTGGCACAGTGAAACTCTGTTGCAACTGCCTGGCTGGGCTGGGGAGAGCGCCTTGCGTGGACGATGTTTAAAACAGTAGCGTTTCTTGGCTGGTATCTCTGACAACGGATTCTTTTTTTCTTTATTTATTTATTTTAGTATTTAGACATGTTTATATTATCAAAATGTTTTCCTTATACATCTTCTCCCTTTACAAAAACGCGCTTTTTTCTTCAGCATTTCAATGGAAACAGTTTTTTTTTTTTTTTTTTTATTATGTCACAGTGTGAAGGCTTTCAATCCTCATCTCTGGTTTCAACTATTCATGTTAGATTTCGTCCTTCAATAACAGTCTGCCAATCTGCCAATAACAAACATTTAGAAAAAATCCATTAGCAAGCACGTGTACCCATGAATATGCATCTTTTATCCTTTTTTTAATCACAGCAAAAAAAATGTAATTCCCAGATTGTTTACATTGTATTTTTTAATTAATCTGGGTTCAGTCTTGGCAAACAAATTCTCCCTTTTCGATCTCCATTCCCAGCGCGCATTACGCATGACTTTCGATATAAATTCAATCAAGCTCACACTCAACGTACTCTTAATTTGATTACAGATGCACCCAGCTGGGATCGCTGCAAAGGAAGCGCTCTTATTCGGCGAAGCACTATGATGATAATAGCAATATTACTACTAATAATGATGATAATAATTATGATAATAATGATAATGATAATAATAATATAATAATGATGATAATGATAATAGTTATAATAACATAATGATGATAATGTTAATGATAGTAGTAATAATGAATGATACAATAATGATGATAATAATGACAATAATAATGATAATATGATATGATGATAATATTGATAATGATAATGATAATAATAATGAATAATAATAATAATGAATAATATAATAATAATGATAATAATGAATAGTAATAATAATGATAATGATAACGATGATATTAATAAAAAAGAATAATGATAATGGGAAAAATGATAATAACAACGATAATAATATGATGGTGATAATGATAATGATAATTAATAATAATATATTATTATTATCATTATTATTATTATCATAATGATATAATAAAGTAATAATGAAAAGGATAATGATAACGGATAATATAATGATAATAATGATAATGATATATAATAATAATAAAATAGTAATGATAAATAATAATATCAAAATAATATATTAACAACAACAATAATAATAATAAACAACATCAATAGCAATGACATATAACATTAGGTCGAAAATTCCCTAAATTAACCAAAACGACTTAGAGGATCAATAACCAAAGCCAAAAAAATCATCTTAAACAAAAATTAATTCCGAAAACAGAGGAGGATGCCTCTATCCCCGGCTCTCCCCCCCCCTCCCCTTTAAAGTCTCATTTAAAAATGGCCAAAGAATAACTTGTCTTTTCAAAAACTTTGCCCGCGGCGTTCAGAAAGGGAGGGTGGGTGGGTGGCCGGTGGGGCGGGGTTGGGGGGAGGAGCGAAATGATAATAAGGAAAAATACACTGTGAATATAAATTACCTTGGAAATAGTTTTATATTCCCGGTGATACGGCATTATGCCCCAAACCTGCTCTCATCACGCTGCAGTCAGAGAGAGAGAGAGAGAGAGAGAGAGAGAGAGAGAGAGAGAGAGAGAGAGAGAGAGAGAGAGAGAGAGAGAGAGAGAAGAGAGAGAGAGAGAGAGAGAGAGAGAGAGCGGCATAACACAGACATACAGGTAGAGACACGCAGTCAGAGAGAAGAGAGAGAGAAGAGAGAGAGAGAGAGAGAGGAGAGAGAGAGAGAGAGGAGAGAGAGAGAGAGAGAGAGAGAGAGAGAGAGAGAGAGGAAGGAGAGAGAGCAGGCATAGACATTACAGGTAGAGACACGCAGTCAGAGAGAGAGAGAGAGAGAGAGAGAGAGAGAGAGAGAGAGAGGAGAGAGAGAGAGAGAGGAGAGAGAGAGAGAGAGAGAGAGAGAAAGAGAGAG